TAGACGGACCAGTCCCAGTACATTTAACCCTTTCGTTACCTTGGACGAGATATCTCGCGACCCAATACTAGCCGATTAACGCTTTTGACGATAATCTATCGGATCTATCTATCGGATTGCGAAATATCTCGTCAAAAGCGTTGATCGGCTACTATCGGGTCGCGAGATATCTCGTCAAAAGCGTTAATCGGCCAGTATCGGGTCGCGAGATATCTCGTCAAAAGCGTTGATCGGCCAGTATCGGGTCGCGAGATATCTCGTCAAAAGCGTTCATCGGTCAGTATCGGGTCGCAAAATATCTCGTCAAAAGCGTTCATCGGCCAGTATCGGATCGCGAGATATCTCGCCAAAAGCGTTAATCGGTCAGTATTGGGTCGCGAGATATCTCGTCCAAGGTAACGAAAGGGTTAACATTACGAAACAGCATTCTATTCAACATTCTTCGTCTTTTGAACACATTTATTGTAATTTTCGAGAAAACATATTTTATAATCGATTTTACGATTATGGGTACATGAAATAGTAGTTATATTGATTTAAATATATGTTAGTTTAATAAGCGGAAAATTACGGCATTTCAGCTTGAAATTAGAAACAAAAGTATATATTTGTAGTAAGTTTTTATTTGACAGAAGTAGAAACGTACTCTATAAAAATAGAAAAATAATTTGGACATTTTGTATAACAAAAAAAACTGATTGTAAGATATACAATTATTCAGGGAATATGCTTGATACTGCATTGTAATAGAAAAGTATTCTATTTATAATTTGTTACAATCGAATAAATGAAATAATTTAATTTTTACGCAAATGTGCTAGAAACAATAGCCGATGCAACTGAATACATTGCCAGTTTCATTGCCAAAATATTTAAAAGTACTGATCCCGAATTAGGCGATTATATACATACGATTAAATCGGAAAATTCCTCCAGTTTACCATCATCGGTACAGTAATAATCGTTCGGAGGTCTTATTAAACTGTCATTACATTTGTAAAAAATGGGTAAAAAATGCAATCATTTTTTCAGTATGATCTGCATCGATATAAATGGCGGAAAAAATCCTGTCGTAAAAAAATTGACTTTAAAAAGTAAGAAACGGAGAATACTGTCAATAGACATCATCCAATTATTTTGCAAATGGGAGAACAATTATCCGCATGAATGATTTAAATGCAAATAAACAGTGTAATGAAGTCCAACGTGAGAGAGAACGCACATATACCAGCACACCAGAATCGGACAGAAAGCGACACGTAGCTAACAAAATACAAAAACAATTAAGCGAATCACTGTTTTAGTACGTTAATTAATTGAACTAATTTTAAACACACATTTTAACCAATACTCGTTGTTTCAATTAATTCAAATTCGAAACGAAACTCTTTTCTATTTTAATTCAGCAATAAACAATTATCTCACAAAATCTGTTTATGTTACAATTAGTTGTTGGCGATGCATCACCATCTCAAGTAATTTATATTTTCATTTCTATAAAACAAAAAAAGACTGAATGTATGATTCTGTTTCAGACTTCAAGCAGGAATACTGGAACTCTTCGGCATATTAGACCAATATATGTCTTGTATCATCATAATCACAATGTGATTTACTCACAGCCTTAAGATGGATTTCAAAATTTGTTTTTCTAGAAGCTACTATAAAAATGTTAAAAAGATTGACGAGAATTGCTTGAAATACAGTTCCGTCAGGTTGAATGTATTGGGACGGCATCGCAGTGACCCCCCCCCCCCCCCCGTGGAGAAAGAATCGGCGCACAGTGAGGACAGAGACGGGCAAAACTGGTACTAAATCGAACCGTCATGGAGTGATTTTTTAAGTTGCATATTTCTTTCCAGTTCCCTTAGTAGTGTTAAAAGAAAAGCATATATGCAGCTTCTTGAGTTATTTTGATTCGTAAAATTAGTAGAGAATAGTTTGCACAACTTACCAGCACAAGTAAGACGATAAAGCAGCTGTATGAATGATTTTGTTGGTTAGATTATTTACAGCACTAGATCGTAGTCAATGTCATCTTCGTCCGCATCTTCATCACCATGGAAGACCTCATTGGCGTCATGGACGTCATGGACCTTGTCATGAATAGAAACATGTATGGGAGGTTGTAATACATCTAGCGCTTCTTTTAGAAGGCGTTCCTTTTTTATCCTTGCTACTTGTTCCTTGTGAATACGCCTCTAGAACAGAAAGTAGCAAGAAGTAGCGGACAAACTAACGGTTCGAGAATGTCAGACGTGTAACCAATTCGCAGGAGTAGTAATCAAAACTCGGATTAACTCGGAACGTGATTAATAACGTCAAAGTTTCTGCAATAATGTTTGAATATCCTTTATCGCTCATGGCTCTGCTGAGGCCTGCTTTTATAGTGAATATGCACTTCAATACAGATCTATCCTTATGAAGACAGAGGTATTTACCTGAATTTGAGGATTTCATAACCATTCCATTTGTTAAAATAGCACGTCTGAAAGTCACTCCAACAGCCGAGGCTGTTGCGACATAACAGAGTCATGAGCGATAAAGGATACTTAATCATTATTTCAGAAACTTTGACGTTATTAATCACGTTCCGAGTTAATCCGAGTTTTGATTACTACTTCTGCGAATTGGTTACACGTCTGACATTCTCGAACCGTTAGTTTGTCCGCTACTTCTTGCTACTTTCTGTTCTAGAGGCGTATTCACAAGCGACAAGTAGCAAGGATTAAAAAGGAACGCCTTCCAAAAGAAGCCCTAGATGTATTACAACCTCCCATACATGTTTCTATTCATGACGTGGTCGATGACATCGATGACGCCAATTGAGGTCTTCCATGCTTACGAAGATGATGATGAAGATGCGAACGAAGATGACCATGAATATGATGTAGTGCTGTAAATTTCTGACTAATAAAGTCATTCGTACAGCTGCTTTATCATCTTACTGGTACCGGTAAGTTGCGCAAACTATTCCCTACTAATTTTACGAATCAAAATAATCCAAGAAGCTGCATATATGCAACTTACAAAATCACGCCATGATGATTCGATTTAATGCCAGTTTTGATCTTCTCGGGCCCTACTATGCGGCGAATTGAGCAATCCCCTGCAGCATAAGATCCTTGGTCCTACCCATAGATGTTCGTTATATTTAAAATCACGAGCCCTTACAAGATCATTAATGACACAAACTGCATTGAAATGTTGTTTCATTTCTTTCCTGTATCTGTCTAAAAATGAGTAATTTCAACACTATCAATGTGTTTTTATAGTCCCACTTAATAAAAATATATTTAACGGAGACTTTTTATTTTTGTAACGGAAAGCAAATTATTTTGAATAAAGAAAAAAAGCTAAGTTCGCATGAGATCGTACATTTCTTCACAGTTGGACAGGACAGTGCAGTAAAAAACTTCGTTCCGATTTGTATAGGTTTTGGGCCATGAGCGAACAGCTTTGACTTATGTATCAATATATATATATATAGGAAGGTAAGTATAACAATAATATTAGGGTCCAACGTCGAATGCGCGGGAGTGAAATAGAGGGTCAAATGTACTATAATGAATTGACCTCTTGTTTGTGAAATTCGAGGTTCTTGGGGAAAAGCATGTGATTAATGCACAGTTTGTCTCGAATGTTACAAACGCCTAGACAATTTCCAAAATAAAGATGACTAATATAAGTCAAAGGAATGTCTTGGGAACAAGTGTAAAAGAAACTAATCTTAATCGCTAGTTGACACAATTCCACTCCATTAATAATGGAGAACTATCGGATTTCCCGATTCTATCAGAAAGAGATTTTTATTTCCTAGCTCTTAGACAATATCAAATAAAACAGACAAAATCAGATTACAGTGAACATGTTGCCATTGATGGACGATTTAAGATTAAACCTTGTAATGACGTTCGAGCCATCGAATTTACTTCCTGTGGGCTAGTAGTTGGTAACCCTTTGTTTACAACAGCTAGGATACAATCCAGGCACGTCAATAAAACAAAATATTACATTTATATATTGGTAAAAAAAATGAAGAAAAGGACGCCATACGTGCGTCCTACTGTGTTTGCAAAAACGGATTTAGGACTGTGTTGACCGTTGTGCCACCATAATTATCATAATACGGTATCCAGGTTATGCTCGGCACCTTGTTGGGTCTATAGAAGCATCGTTTGAACATACCTATTGTGATATAGCTGTATATCACAGTCTAAGGGTGTATAAGCATGGGAGCGACATCGCCGGAAGGCGCGCTATTTGTAATCAAAGTCAAGTGTAGAGTAGTTTTTCAAGATGTCAGGTACGACCGTAATCGCTTCCGCTAAAAAGTGTATTTCGTTACTAATAAAGTTGTATATCTTACTCTGGAAAGAGTCAGCGGTTCCTGAGAGACTATATTATGCCTATAAGACATTATTAAAACGTTCAACATGACTGATGACAACCCTATCGTGTGTTAAATTAATTATTCAACAGCTTATATAAGGTAGAGCATACAATGAATTGAACTAAATTTTTATTCGTGAATGAATTCAGTTAGACCCACATCCTAATATATGACTCATTGCTATTCGCCATATGGCCCATCTCAAGACGAAGTTCTTTGGGGAAACAGTGCTAATTTTTGAGTTAATCGAGAAATAGTTCCTCTAAAAATTGTAGGTGTTCAAACAAGAAACTTGAATAAAAAAGAAAAAAAGTATGACCCGATTAAAACAACAAGTGTTGCTTGCTGTAATGTCACTAGTGTAAATACATATTCCTTCATATTTTTCCCATTTTTCCTGTTCGAGAACATGTAACTCTAATACGTAACTTTCCGACTAAATCCTGAGTTTTCAAATATCCTCTTGAATCATTTAAAATGGGACACCCACTATAAATAAGTACATATTTAAGGGTGCATTATTAGTTGGTGGAAATATTGTACATTAACAAATTCTTTACTTCAGTTTTCATAGGCCGCTTTAAAGGGAAATATGTAGCTACATTACCTTAGCCGCATCGAGACTGTGGTCGCGATCCCGAGGCCTCCGACTCGTGACAGGACTTCCTCCGGCAGATTGGTCCGGAGGACCATGCGCCACTAAGGGCAAACTGCGTGTCGGATCTAATCGCAATTGTTTCACGATATCTTCTATTAATTCCACAAACGTCTCACATTGAGACTGAGGTAACAAATTTTCGGCTACCTGCATGATAGAAATATTTATAGCAAACCTTAATTTCAGAAAAACATTGACAATGGACCGCCTTTAATAAGAACAGGTTCCACCAACATCGATTCAATCATTGATTACCTAACCGTAGCGGAAGTTAATATCCAAATTAAGTATGGGTTATGGCGATAAGAAAGGGAATTTTGAAAGATTAGTTGCTAGCGCGCACACGTTTCGTTAACAAGGGTGAACCAATTTTTCTGAAATTTCAACACGGGATACAGAGACGCTAAAATCACTACTGACCCTAAAACAATGAATTTCTAAAAAAAAAAAAAATGGTTATTTAGTGTAAACCAGAATCAAGTCATATTTTTGTCATCATTCACTTCTAAAAAGCTCCAAAGTAACAATTGAGAGTGCCAGGAGTAATGCTCAATAATTTGAAACATGATGGTCACAAAATTATATTAATTAATTAATTAAATCCGAAAATGGGAAAAATGTATATCTTTGAATTCCGGGTGTACGACGTAGGTACCCCGTGCGCTGTAGCTGCTCTCAGGACATAAAATTAATTGCCACTGAATACAACAGGTCGCAGTATAGCCGAGTAGACTATCAAAAATCACGAATTCAGGACATCTCTTGAGTATTACTTCAATCTCTTCATAATCATTCTGCAGAAATTAAATATACAGTTTTCGATTTTTTGTATTTGTTTGGTTTAACAGTAGATCATCTTCCCGTTTTTTCATCATAATCCTCATTCCCTTTCTTGGCACATGCTTTCGGCACAACTGAGAGTATAATTTAATAATCGAAATCAAAGATAATGATACACATGTAAACTCCCTCACACCCTCAGTTAAGGATGCGTCTCCACTGTGAAGGTACAATAGGGTACAACAGTAAAAGTATCCCTTTCATTTTGAGTCTCCATGTGTAGGGCCGCATCTATTGGCAGTATCTCTCAGAGATGACAAACTACAGCGTAGTGGGTATAATCCCACAGTCAGAGTCATGAAGTTGTCCGATCACGATTTCGTGATGGCCGAAGGTTTCGTTACACTCAACTCAAATTTACTCCAAGTGCGCCTAAAGAAGTTTCACTTCAATGAAGGAACAGATGATCTAATAACGAAAGTGAAGAATACTTGCCGAGAGCGAATAGCAAGCGAATTTAAGGTGAAGTGAAACCCCCTTCAAATCAGTCGATTCGAATACAACACTTTTTTTTAAGGGTATTAGACCAAACTGGCCGAAACTTTGACAAATCACTCCTGATCGTCTAAGAATTGTCCTGACACATTCAAAATTTGGGTGGGGCAAAATTGGAAGAAATTTTTTAAGTTAGCCCTGACCAGAACCAAAATGGCGCCGAGCTCTCATATTTCGATCGCTGTACAATTATTGAAGGCTATGAAATGAGAAACGAAAGGGTCAGGACAATTTTATGACAATTTGGAACACTTTGGTAATCGATAAACTCGCATTTGAACGGGATAAAGGCAAAAAAAGTGTTGAATGTGCTTGTATGCTAAATTGATGGTAATACGAGGTATCGGAGTGAAAATTTAATTAACTTGGAAATCACAGATGGCGCAGGGGGTCCCTTTGCAGTCAATTAGGGCCCCAGAAAGCACGAATCCAGAGGATTTCTGGAGTCTTACTTCGATTTCTTTATAATTATTGTACGAAAACGACAGGTGGAGTATGCCATTTGGTACAATATCCAATATAATTCGACCCAGCTGTCAATATTAAAACAAACGTCGGCAACGTAGGCATTTAGAAAAATCTTCTTTATCGGCGTCGATCAAGTTCCTCGACGTGTTTCACTTCACCTTAATTTCACAAACTGAATCTTTTGATAAGCGAAATCTCATTTGGAAATCAATACCGTCGAAAGAACTCAAATTATTTGTTCTTTCTTTCAAAATTCACAGTCTCCTTTCAATAAAATCAAGAATATATTCATCGTTTTTGTTATTAGAAAGCGTCAATACATACTTGACATTATCCGTGTTTTCTTAATATTTATGACCGTTTTTGGGTTAAGGTACGATTAACTGATGCTCAATGATTGAATTTGACTGGTTAGAGTAGGTAGCGATTAATAGAAGTTAATCGACCGTTACTATGTGATGAAGCGCACAACTCATTGTAACCGAGGACTATTATTTAACCGAGGTTGGTGGAATTAGGCCTAAATATTCTAAGCATACCAGATTATTTGCAATATCGGTAGGCACCATGTCATCACGGTCAAATTTGAAAGTTACGGTTTTTTGCTTGCTCGTGTCCAGTTGGCACTCTACAGTCATTGATTGACCTTCGCCACTGCTTACGGATAAAACTGTGAGTTTAATACCCGGTTTCCTGCGCTTTGTACCGGAACGTTTTACTCTGCACCTTTCTGGTACCGGAACACTTTCCGAATTTTCTGGGGTAATTCTGTAACGATGGGAATATGTTTAATAATACAAAAAACGCTAAGAAATATATCAGAAAATCAAATTAAATGTTAATAGTACTTAAAAACGAAAGTACAAAATGTATTAGTTACGAGGGCATTTCAAGCAGTAATACAAAATAAAGGCTAAATAAAACCCACCTCAAACAAGTGGATTCGATAAAACACTTTTTCTTTGAATATTCTGTCGAACTGGCTTAAATTTTAACGTATGATTTGTGTTCACCCAACAAATATCCCGCCACTTTCAATATTTGGATTTAAAAAGAAAATTTGTTTAACAGCTTAGGTTGAAAACAAAATGGCGTCGTGCTTCTATGTTTCGATCAATATATAATTTTCTCAAGCTTTAGGGTAAAAAACGACCATCGCACAACAATTTGGAATACTTGAATAATCGAAAAACGTGCATTTGAACATTATAAAAATTAAAAAAATGTCACGGAAACTTCCATTTTAAGATGAACATAATGCGTATAGTGCACGAGTTCTCACAGACAAAATATAGTTGGCACTAAATGCAATAGATAACCCTGCAGTCGAATAGAGCATAAAAATCATTAATTCAGAAAATGTTTTGCTTATTCGATCTATATAATCTTTCTATTGCAACGTTACATGGAAAAACGAAAGATATTATTCTCACTGCAGTACAAAAAACTGTCAAACAAATATAAACGATGATGACGTGACACTCTATTTTTGATGGGACATCACTTATAAGAACTTATTTTTACCGACAATAATTAAATTTCTCAATGGGTCTCACTTGACCTTAAAAGAAGGGATTAATAATGTATTTTAGTTGCGAAGCCTGTTCACATCATTCCTTAAACTTCTTTTAGAGCGCTTTTAAGAAATAAGAAAGCGCACATCTTATACAAGTGACTGAGGGTACCTTTATATCACTTTTAAATGTCAAGATCGCATGTCAAATAAGGCTTTTAGCTGACAAAATCATTAATGAAAAATTAAATATATAATCACGTAGTAAAAGTTCGTGGATTGAGTGCAGTGCATCAAATAAATACCACGGATCGGATTTGTCATTTTTGATTGTGGCTTTGGTTATAGCAATGTTATGTCAAAATCGCTTTTCATTGTTTTGTAATGTTTAATTGTCTTTAAATTTGTGGGATGCTGAAAACATATATGCTGGGTAGACAAAGTGCAAGTGCGTTAAGCAGTCGTCACGTTATTCCTGTGTTGTCATGTCGCGTTTCGTAATAGTGGTCTTCATTCTGAAAGTGGACTTACGGCGTGAGTACGGGGTCTTTTAGCAGAGATTCGATCATAAAAGTGATCTTTTATGTCTACGAATGTGAGATACGACTTAGGGCCGTGGTATCGAATTATAAGAAAATAGATATTGTTTAGTGTTTGAATGCCCTTATGAAAAGCTCAACAAAAAATAGGAATAGATTAAAGAGCCCACCCTTCATTGGAACTAGGAGCTTGTTGAGCCATTCCCACAGAAGATCCAACTGCCGAATCTTGTATTGCAGCAGGTGCATCAGTCGGAAGAGACTGCACAGAATCCATAGTATCTTGCTTAACGAGCATGTTCCTGTCTACTGTTGAAGACGTGTCTACATTCGTCAACTGGTTCAACTGCGATTGCTGAGAAGGAACGCCTTGACTTATAGGAGCTGCTGCAGATATGACATTCGTACTTTGAGAATACTGCAACTGTGTAACAGTCATCTGTGATTGGGCTTGTTGGGAACCATTGGAGAGCAAAGTCGGGGCGCTTTGAATATTAGGTACCGAACTTGCAGTCTGAGTATTTTGTACATGGACAATTGACGATGAATTCTGGACGTGATTTAGAGCGGATGGTAGAGAAGGTGGTACTTGTCCTACAGATTGACCATATGCTTGAGAAGTCGAAGATCCAGCAGTCCCAGGCACATTGGAATGAGTGTAGATTTGTTGTGCGGGTTGAGCCGAAGGTAGGATATCGATATGCCCGGTAGCACCGGAAGAGGTGGGATAAGTGTGAAACATTTGTTGCGGTATCGGTTGCTGATAGAGCGGCGCGTTGACAAATGTGGCATTGCTGTTAGCGCCTTGTTGATAATACTGTTGTCCCTGAACCGGTGGAGAACCAACAGGATGTTGATGCAACTGCTGTATGTGTTGAACCTGCACCTGCGTCTGTTGATATTGCGATTGTGACTGTTGACTCTGTGGTATGGCTTGCTGTATATGCTGTTGTTGCAGCTGTGGTGGCTGTTGTTGCAGCTGCGGTGGCTGTTGTTGCAGCTGCGGTGGCACTTGTTGCGGGACCGATGACGCGTGCGATAATTGCTGTGATACGTTCATCTGATTTAGTTGAATGTATTGTTGCTGCTGTGGTTGTGCAGCTTGTTGTGGTTGAGATTGCTGTTGTTGAGCAACCTGCGGAAACTGAGGCTGACTTTGAATAGTCTGAGGTGTCGAGCACTGTGGTGAACTTGCCGTCAGATTTTGTGAAGCAGATTGAGTGAATTGTTGCGAGTACTGTTGCTGCTGTGCATGCTGCAGTTGTTGCTGATATTGTTGTTGTTGCTGATATTGTACTTGTTGTTGGGCGGCTTGTGAAATTTGTTGTAATTGTTGTGCCTGTTGAGGCTGTATAACCGAAGACTGTTGTTGTATCAACGGCTGTTGCTGTACCAATTGAACCTGCTGCGGCTGAAGATTATGTTGCTGTTGTTGCTGAACAGTGGGCTGAATTTGCACTTGACCTTGTAATTGTAAACCCATACCAGACGGAATCTGTTGTTGCTGTAACTGCATCTGTTGCAGTAAAATTTGTTGCTGCTGCAACTGTTGTTGCTGTTGTTGCAACAAATTGTCGGTAACTGTATTAGATTCAGCTTCTCTGTCTAACCGTTCCTTTTCTTCTCTAGCTTTTCGTTCGTCTCTATCTCGAAGTAAACCAGCAATTTGTGATTTCAACATTTTTGCTACAGCTTTGGCATCTTCTTCAAGTATGAGGCTCGACTTTGCCATTTCAGAAGCTACTTCCTCTGCATTGTCTCCCTGTATGTCAAAGTCAAATTGAATAGCTTCATTCTCTTTATGTTTATTAGTCCGCTTCTTCGGATCTAAAACACGTAGCCGAAACTCTACACGGGATAACTCCACGTCTGTAACTGCTGTGTCGCGCGATACCATTTCTAGTTTCAAACCCACGTCGTCTGCAAAGAATTCGTGATTAAGAAGGTCCTTCACCAGAGGCCTCTCTTCCTTTTTCAAACGAATACACATTTCAATGATATCGCGTACTTCTGGATTTTCAACTTTGTCGTAGCTCTGTGGCTTCACACCCTGTGAATTGAAAAAACTTTTTTTAGTATATGCTTACTAAGACCATAAGTTGAATTACATTACTCGAAAAGAGAAAATAACCTTTTGCGGTAAAAGGTACATATTGCATGCTGCAAACAATTTTCATTTAGCAAAGTAGAGAGAATCGTTTATCATGTACGTTACATTAAACATGCATATGATTAAGTGATAACAGTGATGCTTTAAATACAGAAACGCGAGGAATAATAATACATGTTACCTGTTACCTGAAACATAATGTGTAATAATTTCGTTGGAAATGATGCTTTATCACAAACTGCTATTATAAAATATGTTGAGAAATTCATACGGTATAAGACGTGTTCAACATTCGTATGAAGAAATTAAAAATACATGGTCTGCTGATCGTTAATTCATCATCTAACAGCAATAAAGGCCACCATGCAATGAGTAAATGAACACTAATCATTCTCCCGAAATCGTAATAAGCTCATTAGCTCGCAAATTCTATTACTACTACTTGTAACGCGTCGAAGAAAATATCACAGTTTAATTCAGGTTCATTTAAAATAATAATGAGACAATATGTTTCAACAGTCTCATAATGGGGCTCGGTAAATATTTTTTATTTTGAATATATATTTTATTTTATGTATACGTAACACAATACACATACTGAGTAGAAGTGATTTCAATCCTTTTGTGTGCGAAATTATTACTTTACACAGGCCTTTGTAAAATTTTAATGTATATTGAACATATAACACATGTACTTGTCAAGATCGACAGATCTGATGCATTTTGTCAACTCAAGCGTTACTTCGTGGATACGATTCTGCAAAATATATCTGCATAGAACAATGAATTTGACACAATTTTTTTTATACCGAAGGTTTTTTGTGGGGATATTATATCTCTTAAAAAAAAAACACGTTTGTGTAAGAAATCTCACCAAGTGCAGGGATGCTGCAAATGCCCCTTTTACAAAGAAATAATATTTCGTTTCAACATTGTCTTTGCATGCAAAATGTACTGAAATCATATCACAAAGACAAGTACATAAATCGGTAGGTATCCGCTCCTTATAAGATCGAGCATTAGTTTATCATTCTTTTTTCACATCGAGAGATAAGGTAGTAGCTCAGACACGTTCATGGCCGTTACCACCTTTTAATTACTCGAAACATCGTCCCAATGGGCATTTAATTTTCTTCCGATAGCTAGTGTTATTGCGATAAATACCTATGGACAGTTTAACATGCACGAAATGCTTTGTTCATTTTTTATCTTTTTCTTTATAAGACCTCAACCATCACAATTAATAAATTACATCGATTTAAAATGTTGACAACGTCAGTTTGACTACATTCGTCGTCACTATTACGTACGGACTTACACATGAGCAAAATCTACACTCACAGTTCACATAACCAAAGCCGAACGGTCCCTCAAGGCTCGTTCTCATCATACGACCGTTTCTAAAAGTAAATGTATGGAGGAATGTTTTCTAAAGGGAAATCTAGCGGCGACATATTACAATTTGCATTTAAAATCATCTGCATAACTAAATTCATTAATTTCATTACTTGAAACATTTTACGCTACCCTACTACTCCCATCAATGATATGTAACTGAAGGAATTTGTAAAATAATCTGATACGTACTGCCTGAAAAGTGATAGTTAGCAAAATTCTAATAAAAGCAGCATCAAAACACATAGAATCAGATTAGTATTACTTTTACCACACAATAGGTTAGATAAACTGTATTCTTCAATAATATTGAGTAGCAGGAAGTGGCCGGTTCTGGATAGAGATTCCGGCACTGACATGTTACCGACACTTCGAGGACCTACAAAGGTTCGTGCCCGCGCTAGATCGGAGGGATTGAATCCTCGGTGACAGACAGGTGTTCTTGAAATTGTTTCCCACTTGGGATCTGTGACGTCACGAATTCCACAAATCGACCGTTGATATCTGTAATTTTGTCTCGGTTGGAGTGGGATTTCTGGTCGTGACGTCATATTCCCTGAACGAGAGAAAATTCCAATAACACGCCCATCTTCGAGGGCTCGATCGCTTCGATCTAGTGCGAGCATGAAGGATCTAGGAAGGTCGGTAACATGTCGATGCAGGAATCTCTATCCAGAATCGGCCACTTTCTACTACTAGACTCGGTCGAATCTCACGTCAACTACTAGGTAACATTATTGGTACACTGGCGCACATAAATGCCTTCCCTCCAGACAAGATGCCGTTAGAGTACGGTGGAAAGGTATTCATGATCGTTAATGTGCAACCGCGCAACCGACAGAGTATCCTTTACCCAAGCCAACTCCTACGCTATAGTCATTTAATGTACGGCCGAATACGGCGACTCAATGTCCGCGAGAGTTGAACCCTCAATAAATCTTCATATCTTCTTCGAAACAAACCTTTGACGGAAGGTTAGAAAACAGAAAATAATAACAATTACATTCATATCAATTTTAAGTATTCCGAGACAGTTACTGCACATATATTAGCTAATATTTACGACTCGACATACGACGCGATCAGTTTCGATTTCGTCGTTTTCTTCGCTCCACCATCGCCATTATTTCCTGCTGGAAAGTGATGGCGCTGCATCCTCGCTTTTTTTTTTACAACTTAGAGATGATTTCCTTAGACGTTATAAAATCAGCTGTTATGACATTATCCTCACAAGGTTAGCAAACGTCCGGCGTTGATACAGTGGTGGATTTATAATTGCTTCCTGTGTTTCGTCCAGCAATAAGTATTTTTTTGACAAGAATTGTAACGTGGAAACATTTTTACCAATCACAAGGGGGTTTGTGGCCGAAGCGAGGAGTCCCTCTGGCAATCACTGGAATTAAGATGTTTTGTTGCTCTAAAATTTGAATAACTTTTACGGTAGACTATAATACGGTAGATTCCGCGGAGGAGCGGCGCGCAATTTTCATTGTCTCTAGGACAAGATGACGCGCCAGAATTCCGTGTTGGGGGCTATGCTGCCATCGGCCGGCGGTCGCCCTAATTAGGTGGTTTAGTGACACCATTAGAATAGCGAGATGGCAGAACGGAGCGCCTGGATTAAGTTCCGTCAGGGCTACCGGGAGGAAGACGGCGCTGGCGAAGAAAATCTTCCAGCAGGATGACCATTGTCAGAGGGACGACCGTTGACTCCTGGTGCTACGTCCCGACGTTCCGCCCAACGCGGCCTGCACCGTTCTGTTCCCGCCAAAAGCCTTCACCGCCGCATCCCAAAGGGCGCTATATTACCGTCGTGTCCAGAAGAGAGCCCCGATTGCGAGCCTCAGCGTAGAGCGTAGTAACTCTAACCAGCCCAGAGGGCCTCATCGTGACCGCTAAAGTTTTGTCCTGTCCTCATGCTGTGAGCCGATTTTAACCAATTCCCGTCGATTTGACGATGATTCTCGATAATTTGCCGTCTAATTCTTGAACGATGTATGCTACCTTCCGTGGAATTTTCGATTAATCCCTTGCGAAGTTCTGGGGCGTTCCGGGATTAGCGATCGTTATCGTATGTTGCGCCGCTTTTCCAGGGGTTCCGAGCCGTTAGGTGTTGTACCGGTTGCGTGCGAGTATCGTTCCGATCGCGACCATTTTTGCCTGACCGCATGGTGTTCCCCTTTTACCGCGTTTTACCTTGTCAACGGGTTAAAGTCGCGAGTGGCGTCCCGGTTATTAAATTGTCATTTCCGACGGGGAGAGACTCCCGCCCGCTCGCTTATTTCGTGCCCCGTACCATGATTGTGTATCGTTCTTATCGCTATCGTGGCTGCTTATGAGCAGGTCGGAGTGGACGGAAGGCGACGGACCATACTACGAGCCGATGTCAAGTCCCTTTACTCATTTACTGTAGGTACCGGCCCCTTACCGAGGCCCTTGGGGGCCACGATTAGGTCCTCCTGACGTTGTACCCTTTTTGGATTCCAACCGTAGGGACCGAGTTTCGGTCGTGTAAAACTTTTATTTTATTTATTTAACATTAGGGCTCGGTGCCCGACTTCGAGCGTGGATTATAACTCAATGACGCGACACGCTCCCGTGTTTCCGTTCTCGTTTTGGTTTCTGTAATAAATATCCCGTAGGGACTGTTTATCGCAAACTCTCGTTATATCTTATTTAATTATTATTCTCGTCCCGCGGACTCCGAAGGCGACTCCTCCTCACTTGTATCGTTTTCCATACCGAGCCACCTAGATTCTGCCGTGCCGTACCGTGAAGGGCCTCAAGGAACTGAGTAGCCGGTCGGGTACGCCGTTTAAGACCCCGTCGACCAGGCCGGGTTGTAGGGCTCCGACAGCCGGGCACTGGAATTCCGCGGTGCACACGTACGCAGTTGGTGTCCTTAAATAAAATGGAATTCCGGAGAGGCCGAAGGTCGGGCTTGACCCCTACCATTTTCGAATTTCAGAGCGTACAACTCTTTGTCGACCAGGGAAAGTAATTCACGTCGCGGAATACGTCTTTTGGCTCGGGATTAACTAAAAAATTGTATCCTATTGTTTTGTAACGTATTCTTTGTCACAGCAATTTTTTGATACATTTCTCTTACAAGTCCGTTGCTATGCTTTCCCAACTTTGTTACTTTCCATCTGATTTGATTGTTTCTTTTTGCAATGAGTATAGCTGAATTTTTGTTATACAGATCACTTGCGTCGCTGCGGCTTTACCGGGATCCGACTTACACGCATGGTTATAGCCTTAGTTACACGTAATTATTAACAAGATTTTGTGTTTTAATGATTTTCTTTTTGTCACGCGTTGCAGCATGTAATCAGTAACTACCTAACAGCCTAGTCAGTGACGTGTATTGTGTGATTTCCTAAGTGTATCGAGATGTTTAATTTAATCACTGAGACAGTGAACTCGTCCCCGTTTTTAACCCTCTTTGACATTTTGTGCTCCGTTCTCAGTATTGTTTCAGCCCTCGTCGACAGTATTGTTGCAGTATCTGTTTTGTGTAGTGTCATGTATTGCATTGTTCCTAA